GTTACTTGCTTATTTACTTCTGTTCCATGGAGATGTAGGTCGCTATTCTGATTTTAAGCATGACTCTGTGCATGGAAATAGACCACATCATGAGAGAGAGACTCCCCTAGGCCCATCCCGGTCATCAAGTCTGCCATTCATTTTTTCATTCAAACGTTTACATGGAATGCCTGCTGGTGGCAGACACTCTCGGGTGCTTGGAATATATCAATCGATGCAGAAAAAAGACACACGTTTGCCTTCTCTTGATTTATTGAAAACAGTGTTTTACATGTATACCTGTCCACTAACAGAAAGTGAAGCACATGTGAACATTTTCATGTAAATGAACTTTAATTGTTGCAAAAACAAACAGTCAAATCAAAATGTATGCAGTAGGCATTTCATAGAATGTAGTTAATTTTAGCACCTGTAAAATGTTACAGGATGTGTCCTCCACTTGGAAGTAATAAAATGGGTGAAAAGCTTTCTCCCTTTGAAGAGGAAATGACTAAGTTGATAATTTTCTTGATGTTTAAACTTATGTCCCTCTCCCATAATTAATTCTTCTGATTATGAAATACTTTCAGTAATGAATTTGTACATTTAGGAAATGGGAAAAATCCATGTGTCTGCATTTCGTTATATACTTAACATCCTCTATCATTTTCTAATGACACGGTGTCACTGATCTTTGGTTTATCCCTCCCATAACCCCGACCTCCTGTGTGACGCCAACAGCCAGTACACGCTAACTACAGTTGGAGATAACAGCCTCAGTCGGTTGTTAAATTATTTGTTTGGAAAAGTATGTGATTAGCATATCACAAACCATGCTAACTTTATAAAGAATGTAAACACTGATAATAACATTTGCAGAAATGCAACAAAAATCTCAGCCTATCAGCCAAGTGGGGACTAATGTGGGTTCCAAGTTCAGTTTCTCATTTCACCAGAACTACTCTGGGAAGTGTGGCTCCTGGGTTCTGGAAGGATGGGCCCTTTCCCCCCTGAACTTTTAACTCCTGACCATAATGTGATAGTAGCAACATTCCAAGGAATTTAAATTCATCTGTTGGAACTACAAGGTAAGAATCCACCTCTCTTCATTACCATGACATGTAACAATGGGAATTTTGTTTGTTTGTAGAGTAAGGTTAATATAATTTGACTTCTTCCTATGAACTAGGATTTGACTGGCTTTGCCAGGTCATGGAAGAACTTATTCCCACATGTTGATTAATTCTCGACTAAAAATAAACACAAATTTTAAATAAGATCTCTTACTTTCCCATCTCTGGGGAAAAGCCTTATGCCAAAATCTTTCCCAATAGTTTAATTTTTATGTCAATGAAACTCAAATCTAAGCTGAATCAAGAAATATTTAAATTATTAAAATTTTACTCAAATGATTCATATTAAGTTGTCCCACAGTAGGAAACCCCAGCATCAGACATTCTCAGAAGTGTGTCAGTTAAAATGCAATACTGATCCCCATCCTGGTGCCTGCCGTGGGCGTTTAGAATCCCCAAGCCAACGTGGAACTGAACGAGCCCCAAATAACGTTACTAAGTTATGAAGTACGTTAACCCCAAATTTCAGCATCAGAGAAAGTTATTAATGGATGTCTTTGGGAAAATACTATGGTGCGTTTAATGTTCTGTTTCCTGTCAGTCCATCAGCCTCATTGAGAGGGGAAACCCGTCCAGGAGCCTGGAGAACGTGTGCCGCTGGGCCTGCCAGCAGCAGAGGTCCGATCTCAACCACTCTGAGCATCACGATCACGCAATCTTCTTAACCAGGCAAGACTTTGGACCTGCTGGAATGCAAGGTATTGTCATTAATATGTACAAGAAAACTTAAGGACATGATTTCCTAAAGTAATCCTGAGTTAGGCAGCCTGTCCGAATATCCTCATCTTCACATCTACTTTTCATGTACCCGCCAAGCATATGTTTTTTCCTATTGCTTCTAGGGACTTCTCTGAAATCCACACATTAAACACCATGTGAATACCATAATAGATTAACCTTGCCTTTAAAATAATGATTGTGCATTTGGGGTACAGAGGGGTTGCTGTAAAATGCAGCACAATGTCCACTAACTGTCTGGGGTGAAAAAATGGTTGCCAGGAGAGATGACTGTGGCCAGAGAGCCCCTTCCAGGGCCGGCCTGCGCTCACCGGCCAGAGAGCCCCTTCCAGGGCCGGCCTATGTTCACCGGCAAGCTCTGAAAAAGCAGACGGATGGCTTTCTCTTCAGCACTGATGGAATTTCTGGCTCCCTTCACCAATACCACAATCTGAGAGACCATTTACTAAAACAGAAAGACAAGGGAGGCATAGCTGGTGGGCAGAAGAGAATGATAACTCCAGGCATGTCCTTCTCTCCCGACGGAAGAATAGGCAGACCCAGGGAATCTTTTTAGAACCGTTACCTGCGACTTTCCCAAGAGAATGTGGCATGCTCTTAGCAGGGAAATAAATACTTGCCTGTTTCCTAAAAAGCTTTTCTTTTTCCTCCCTAGGCAAAGGTCCAGAAGTGATTCTTAGTGGGTTTCTCATATAATGAAAATAAGAGTGATTGTCATTCTCCGCAGGGTACGCGCCAGTCACGGGCATGTGTCACCCTGTAAGAAGCTGCACCCTGAATCACGAGGACGGCTTTTCATCTGCTTTTGTAGTAGCCCACGAAACTGGCCATGTGTAAGTCACTGTTAGCAGCCAGAAAGTAAAAAAAGGTCTTTTTCTTTCCTGCTGCTTCTTCCAGTATTGTGTCCACATTGGGCAGAGCGCACACCAGCGGGGGTTTTGTCTTTTGCCAAGTCGGTGGCTGGAGACTGCAAGGGGCCACTGAAAGGAGAGGAGGACCTGGTGTGCAGAGGCACTGCTGTGCTCCTCAGGGGAGGAGAAAGGCTTTCCTAGCAGGTGGCTCCTCACTTCTGCTTCTGGGACTTTTCCGGGAAAGCCACATTGCCTTAAAATACATATTTCCCAGCACTTATTTTCAGAACAGGAATGAAACCAAAGCTGTAGCCCCCTGGGTCTCACTGGGAGGCTTCCTTTGTGTTCCAGGTTGGGGATGGAGCACGACGGCCAAGGGAACAGGTGCGGCGACGAGACGGCCATGGGCAGCGTCATGGCCCCCTTGGTGCAGGCAGCTTTCCACCGGTACCACTGGTCCCGATGCAGTGGCCAAGAGCTGAGAAGATACATCCAGTGCGTGCGTCCCCTGCCACGTGTCACAAGAGCATTTATTTTATAGTCTACAGATGTGAAACTGACTCAGATTGTGATCAAGACAAAATTTTAGGAAATGAAAATGTTGTTGATAATAAGCATGTTCTTATGACTCAGAGCATTTGGTACAGCAATCCAGAACATATTTTAATATTTCCCAATATTTTAATCAGTAAGCCTAGAACTTAAGTGAATTTTTAGCTGTAACATAATTTACCTTTAGTAAATTCTTTATGGAATCTTTGACTAATGGGCCAACTTCAGCTGAGGATGAGCCGAGCCTGGTCATGTAATTCCTGCCTGTGCCTTTTACCACCCCACACCTACACCGTAGTACAGGTGTCAGGACTACCCTGCCAGGCAATGTGGGGGGTTAATGGTGATGCAAATAATCGTGGCTTTACTAGATTCTTAGGTCATATGTGGTTTACTTTCCTGGAAAAAATGAGAGTGAAGGGTCTTTTTCTAAATGAAACCGAAGCCAAAGCCTTAAAGTGTATGCTTTTGTGAACTTGTTCTATGATTTTGGTGAAATTCTAGAGTACATAAACTAAGGTTACTTTTGTACTAGGACGTGATTATAAAGAATAACAATTTAGCTACATGTAATATTTCTCTTCCTACAGTTCCTATGACTGTCTCCTTGATGACCCTTTCGAACACGATTGGCCCAAACTCCCCGAACTTCCTGGAATCAATTATTCAATGGACGAGCAATGCCGTTTTGATTTTGGCGTTGGTTATAAAATGTGCACTGCGGTACGTGGCTCACAGCTGATGCTGACTTTGCCCGTTTTGATTTTGGA